GTCAGATTTACAGGTGCAGTTCTTTATCCACATGACTGTGTCTGGAGTAATAACTTGGGGGTAGGTGTGTAATTCTCTGTGGAAGGCACATCATAGCTTCCAATTTTCCCGTTGAAGACCAGCCTTGGTTTTCTGATGACAGGCACTAGTCAGATTTTTTTCCTTCATGCTCAGCTAGGTGCCTCCCCACCTTGGGGAGAGAACAGCAAGCAGGGTGGGCTCCAGTCCAGGTGGGAGCAGGAGAATGGGGCCCAAGCAGGTCCTCCCCTGGAGCACTGCAAAGCTCTGAGAACACAAACACAGAGAGCAGAGCCGTGGAAGGTTTACGTAACATGTCACAACTTTGTTTTGTGCTCCCATCAAATACATATTTTTTTGCTTCATCTTTTCCTTGTAGATTCTTAGTACGTATTATGTGAACAGACTGCAGAGCATTTTATTCAGAAGAGTTTAATTAACCTCAGCTAGCAAAAAGAAAAAGAATGTACAGAAGCTGTAGGGTAAAAAAAGATCATATTTAGAAAAAATAAGTGCAAATGACCTAAATGCATCAATTTTCTTAAGAGCCACACAATGCAGTCTGGATGCAGTCTGCAGAGACTGCGGGTCTGTGTCGCTGCTCCTTGTGTTCGCTCTCCCAGTCGGTGCCTTGGGGCTTCCCTCACACCACCCCTCAAGTCCGTAATGATCCTACCTGCTCTCATCCCTTTTCTTCTCCATCTGTTGCCTTTCTCTTAGGCACATCAAAACGCAGAGCTGTCAGGACCCCAGGAGATCAGCTATTCCCTTGTAGGATTAAGAGCACTCAGATCTTCTCTGACAGATGTTTATCTAACCCTATTTTTGAAAATCTCCAAGGAATGCTGTCTCAAGACTTCTGTATTTTGTCTGTTTTAGTGCTTAGCTACTCTTACAGCTGGAAAGATCTTTTTCCACGTATCTAATCTTATTCCCCTTTATAGTAAATTAAGTCAAACCACAATCAAAATGGAGAATAATTGATCTCTTCAAAGAATTTTTCATGTTTTTGAACAGTCATAGCACATTCCTTTTCATTTATGTTCTTTCTGGATTAACAGCTCTATTTCTTTGGCTTTTACCAATGATCAAGATTTCAGATTTTTTTTTTTTGTCTTTTTACATTTTCTTGCACTTATTTAACTCTTCGGGTCTTTTTTCATTGTGACATTAAAAATTGGGCAGTGTAAAGCAACTGGTCTTCATGCTGGCTCACCTGTAGTCAGGATGCAAGATAATACTACACTGATATAGCAGCATGTAAACAGAACCAATGTCTGTAGTTCAGTAATTTCCTCTTGACTGTCTCATGTGGTTTCCACGGAGTGATCAGGAGTAGCACTGTCCCAGCTGCAGTTTCTGCCATTTCCTACGCCTGAGCTCCTTTCACCAGTGCAGCTACCTCCATCGCTGATAAATCTCCATCTGTGTGCACCTATTTGCTTTGTCCCTCTGACATGTAGTACTTAGCAGCCCATTTAAGCAATCTGTTTTCATCTTCCACCACGCATCTGTTTTCCTTTATCCTGTGTGTGCTTGTTTGGTTCAGCTTATGTGCTTGAAGAAAGGAAAGACACAGTGTGCAGAGCAACAGGGCTCATTTCTCTATCCTGCCTCCTGTCTGCTTCTGCCACAAACCACACAAAGCAGTGCTGCTCTCATATCCTGTTTTTGTCCCAGAGTTTGATTTTCTTGTCCACATGCAGAAGAAGTTCCTTAAAACAGGGCTTTGGTCTCATTTGCCAGTTACATAGCTCAGATGAACTCCTAAATTTTGTTGGAACCATTTGCGTTGTCATCCAAGTGCATTTGAAGACACCAGTGCTTGGCAAGGAGTTAAGTAATACCTCTTTTTTCTTTAAGAGCTGTAAGAACATATGTGATAGAATACCGTGGCTCAAGAAATTATTATTGTTCTGATACTACAGATGTTAAAATTTAGTCAGTTAGTAAATAATATCAGTTTATTGAGTGTAGGCACAAAGAGAAGAGGAGTAGTAGCATATAGCTAAGCCATCCCAGATGACGGTACCCAGGTACAGGTATCAATCTGCTGTATGGACTGAGCTTTCCCAAAGCCAGATATAACGAGCCATATGCACACAGTGCTATGGGTGCTGGAGTCTGTAGCCAGTGGGTGGGGAATGGTGCTTCCTTTATGGAAGCAGGAAAGGAGTGCTCCATCAGCACAGAACAGTGATTGCCTCTCAGGGCTGGCTCTGAGCTCCCTCCTGGACTTCTGCATGGCTTCGTCCTCTCTGTGCATCCTCTCCTCAAGGCCTCCCCCCAGGGCCGTTTCTCCAGCAGCAGATTGGTGCCAGGCTGAGCTCTGGGGAGGCTGATGGAAGATGATTCATTTCTTCTTGTTATCAAAAAGCTTCTTCTTGAAATGAAAGTAAAAGCGGCAGGCAGGAGCTCTGTGCTTGTTGTCTTTTCCTGATTCCCAATGCGCTTATTTAATGCTCAAGGACAAAGCTGCAGCGTTCCTTCTTTGTATGTTTCCCTCAAACGCTCTTGATAGCTGAGCTTGTTATTTCCTGCTATTGCATTTTCCCCAGCAATAATCTTCTGAAAGCACTTGTGCGATTCCATTATCTCCTTATTGCTCCTCCAATAACTCCTAGGCAACACCGTTACCTTCGCACCCAATGCTCAGCAGTACCTGCAGCCCCCAGAGCACCGCAGCAGCGACTGTTCGGCTGCAGCCTGGGGAGGGGAAGGCACGGACGCTGTCTGGACGCATAGCACCTCCATAATGCTGTTAGAGCACTCACTTAGCTATTAAAGGGAGCTCATTGTGTTTGCTAAACAAAGAAAATGAGGGAAAAAACACACCGCGTTCAGTACGTATGTGCCCGCAAAAAGGTAATGCACAGAGTGGTGTTTTCAGCACCAGGCGAACAGGACGCTTGTGATTATTTATTTTCATAATATTTTCATGAGCAGCTCTCTACTTAGTCATGAATATTGCACAGAAAGTATGTTTGATCCTACTTCACCTGCCTCACAAGGACAGCTGCTTTCTTCTGGAAGTTTTCTGCAGCAGTGGTCGGCCGATTCTCTGTCAAGAAGAATATCTGTGGGTAGCACTAATTTGAGGAGCATATCTTTTTTTTTTTTTTTTCCAGTGAGGTTTGTTATCAAGTTCTTTGAGAATGTGAAGATGAATGCTATTTCTAAGAATTAGTTCGAAGCTAAAATGTAAACCAGTGCACAGTATTGATTTAATTGAACAGAATTTTAATGATGCTTCTCAGCATTTAGGTGGGGGCTAAGAAGAAAGAAGCAATTTGCCAAATCAGGGCAATGTAGAAAAGTTTTACAGTGTGCATGTTCAGCTTGAAATCTTCTTATGTTTAGGACAGCATCGTTGCTCAAAGCTTTCATCCAGAAAGGAGGCATTTGTGCAGTATGTTACTTAACAGGTATTTTTTTCCCCTACAGAGCATTCCAGAGGAGGGGGCCAGATTTTAAAGACTCCAACCTCCTGGGCAGTGCCCTGTCTCATAGTAGCCAACCCTATCTGGCACATCCATAAATATGTTGAAAAACTGACACACAGCTTATTTTTTGAGATGAATGATTTGTTTAAAACAATTCCTATTGCTTACCTTCATAAAAAAAAACCCTCACTCCTAAAGCTTACTTGAGTAAGTAAGTGCTGTATATTGATTTTCTTCCTCTCCAATGAGCCCTTTGACAAAACATTTATCTTTAGGCACTTTCAAAAACCAAAAAATATTTAAATAGATTAAATTAATATACCTAAACATTGGGTATTTACAGTGGGTAGAGGAAGACAATCTTGATGGTATGTTTCTGAATTTGTGTTTTTAGATACATGTATGTCTTGTAAATTGAAACACCCTCTCTGGTCATAACTTTTTGTAATTAATACTCTGCTTTCTGGTAGTCAAATATGACTTGTTATCTGTTCCATGAAAGAGGCCAATGCTCCTGTAACACCAGTGTAAATCAGGAATAGTTACATGAAAGGCAGCACCAAATGTGAAGGGCAGGACCAAAAGAAGTACAAAGAGGGAAGGGGGGAAAACAGGCAGGTGTCTGACTTTCACTGTGGTTAATCGTCACAATTTCACATCAGTGATGGAGAAGTTGACACAGTACTCTCAAAACATTGCTTTTAGTGCTATGTCTGCTGCATCTGCTGTTTCCCTGCTGCTGTGACCACGCAGCCGTGCCGGTGTGACAGCAGAAGGCTATTTCTGTTTTCTCCCTTCCTGATGGAGAGAAGTGAGCTGTTGCTGAAAAACAAGGGGGTGGGAATGATCAGTGTAGAAAGCAAGTGAAGATGAGGAGGTTTGGTCATAAAGATTATTGTAAATATCAAGAAAGGGAAAAGCAAAGATTTAAGCTGGCTCAAGAGGTTAAACCCAGATTATAGTGGGATAGAGTTTAAGAGTTCTTTGAATGGAAAACCGAGGGGATTTTTCTCACCAATGAATTGTGTAACAGTGGGAAATGGGTGCCAGGGATAAGAGGCACAGACCTGTTTTGCCCTGGTACCAAGAGCAGCTCTGGAAAAGCGAGACCCTGCTCTGCAGTGCCAAGTGGACACAAGCTGATTTCACAAGTTTTCTCTCTCTGTACAGCCTTTTTTTTTTTGCAGCGCAGGAATCCCATCAGGCTCCTGTCACGTGGAGCAGGAGAAATACCTTATGCTCAGTAAGAAGGTACTAAACCCGTGGGAGATGATGGAAGGGCTCTGTCTGCTCAAAGGTGGTTTTTCATTCCTGCAAGCAAAATTTCGCAGCATGAGGATCTGTATTTTGTTCTGATTTTTTTCTATGTTTCCCCTATTCATTCAGTCAGCAACAAATATATTCGCAGCAGACGAGGTTGGAAGACTGACTGTTTCACCATTGCTTCTTTCTTTTCCTCAGCCCTCCTGTGAATTCCCTGCTGAGCTCAGGCTCTGTAAGTACCTTACGATCAGCTCATCTCTCCTTTTGTCTCCACAGGACCTGATACGAAGAGATATTCTGTATTACAAAGGTCGCATAGACATGGATAAATATGAAGTGGTAGATATAGAAGATGGGAGAGATGATGACTTCAATGTCAGCATGAAGAATGCCTTCAAACTTCATAACAAGGAGACTGAGGAAATACACTTATTCTTTGCCAAGAAACTGGAGGAGAAGTTGCGATGGCTCAGAGCTTTCAGAGAAGAAAGGAAGATGGTAAAAGAAGATGAAAAGATAGGTGAGGAATATGAAATGGATCTGAAAGGAGGTTGTTGGTAATGCTTCATTTAGCCCCAAATGTTGAAGAAGCCCACATTGTTTTTAATTGTAGCATTACAGTTAAACCTTGTTCAGATGTCCTAGACTGCTCTTGTTGCTATGAAGTAGATCTCTTTCCAGTTCAGTCAGTGGTATTTTTGGCCCTCAATGAGCAAATTCTGCCCAGAGCTTCAAGCCTGGACCTCCAAGGGTTTGTGTGAAACAGAACTCTTGGGTCTCCTGACCCAGTCTTCTGGCTGCCTCCTTTCTGCCCTGGCTGTGCACGTCCTGTGCAGGGTAGGGAGGGGCCGAGTTGGTGATCAATCAGCCATGCCCTTCCCTCAGCATCAGCCCAGAAACTGACTGCAACGAGCGTCAGTTCAGGCTCAGTTTGTGTTGCTCAGCTGTAAAGTACTGGGCGAATTTACAATCCTGTTTATGGTAATAATAATAATAATAACGGATCTAATCTTAATCTCCCTTGCGCAGGGTCTGTATGGAAAGTATAAGCAGGCCTGTCCTTTCAAGGCAGATTTGCCTTCCATTGAAGCACCTTCCCATACACACAGCCTGCTGGGTGATGCTTTGCCACCTAGGGAGCTCTGTGTTTGCCAAACAGTGCAGAAAATCCCCCCCTCCCCAAAAGAAAGAGAGGCTTTGTAAGCAACTTCTGAATTGTATTTGCCGTGTTCCCTTTTTCAGGCTTTGAAATTTCTGAAAATCAAAAGCGGCAAGCGGCAATGACAGTAAAGAAAGTCAGTAAGCAAAAAGGTAACCGGCAACACGCACTGTGCCTGGTGATGTGAGGGTGGAGCGGGCTGGGCTGAATCCTGCTGGGCTAGGATCCAGTGTCTCCCTTGAATTTCCCTCTCCCCTTTCTCTTTTTTATAAAATACCGTTTGTGCTTTGTATCCTTTCTTAATGTATCTGTGGGCCAAATTAATCTCTGGTCTCATGTGGCAGAAGCCAGTGGAATTTCACCAGAGATGAATTTGATCTCGTTATCTCCAGTCTGGTGTCCAGAAGCTGTCCCTGGGGGCAGAAAACTTTCTTGATTGTTTATCTCAGGCTGAGATGGGAGAGAGTGTGAAGACGTGTAGGTTGTTTTGCTAATTCCCAAAGTGTGTCCCATTAGAAAAAGATGGCTAAAATATTGGACATGATAAGAGACCTTCCCCTTCCCTGCTTTTGGGAAGGGGATGCTTATGATTCTTGGGGCTGCCTGTAACTTTTAAAGGACAGCACAGTAGCATCAGCTCTAGGAAGGAATGTATCTTGGTAAAGATGTTATATATCTCTAATGTCAGGTTCATTTTCCAACCCAGGCAGACTACAGCCAACTAATAAATGCCATGCTATACACTAAACGGAGTCTCAACTGGTGAAACAGCTGTTGTTAATTATCTCTTGCAATAACTCTTGCAGCTCCAGGTTTTGAAGTAGTAAATATAGAGGGAAAGGAAGAGATGTAATTTTCCAGGTTTTCCAAGGCTTCACAAAGTCACAGGCATGTTAATTAGTTACTGAAGTACCTCAACGCAACCAGGACTATAAAAAGGTTTTCAGAGAATTCATAGTTTCTTGGCTATAGTGAGTCCCAGGCAGATTCTCGACAGGTTTTGGGTTGTTTTTTTTGTTTTTTGTTTTTGCAGAAGTTGAAGGAGCTCTTTGTTTTCTGCCTCACCTGTTTGTTGTCTACTGGCTTTGCTGGTCCAGTAGTGGTTCGCTAGGCCAAGTGTAACTGCCATGGTTTGCTGTGTCTCTCCATTGTCATTAGTCTTCTCCTCTCTATTAACCTCCTATGTTGTGTGCTGAGTTGTTCTCTAAAAGCTCTCCTGGCCAGATTTCCTAAGCTCCAAATACACACACACGCACAGGCAGGGACATGCACATGTCAGAGTCCATGTGGTTCTGGCAGCAGCGGACACCAGCACAAGCACAGGTTGGCACATCCACCCCCACCAGGAAGCAGCCATAGAAATTAAGGCAACTGGAAAACTGGAGAATCTGACTTGCATGATGGCCATGGCAAAAAACAGTTTTAATTATTCACTGTTCAATTAAATTATTAATTAATTATTAATTAATAATTTTACTGTTTAGTCATTAAGTACGTGACACGGTTCAAAGGTGCCTGAGCATGCCTACAGTACACCCAATTAAATCCCTGTACTTGCACTGTGACAAGCATAATAAGCCTAACTGTACAGTACCAATTTCTCATTCAGCATTTGCTCTCGTTTCCTCTCTTTCTCTTTCTCTCTCTTACTCTCAGATGAAAAGTGGGGGGATATTAACCTAGGCTTCTCTGATAAAAATTAATTAGCTTGTAAAACACTAGTCAGCATTTCTTTTACGCAGGACAAGCTTATGCTATAACACTGGGAGTTCTTTTCATGAGATGAAGTCCTTGAGATGGACAGAAACAGTCAGACCTCAGGTGCCCAGTTAGGCAAAGTCTGGCTCTTTTACTGAAAATAACAGCCAGTAGAACCATGAAATTAGTAGCTCTGTTTCTTTTGTCCTACATTGTGATACTTGTAGTCCAGCCTCAAATTACATAAGTTATTTACCTGCACTGAATGCTTGGCTGAAAACTCTTGGTTTTCTTACTCTGTTTTGCCCAAGACCCAAAGGCACAGGGCTGCTGTAACAGGGAGCTGGCGAAGTTGCTCAGTAAGAGAGAGGTAGGAGGGCATTCCTGGGAGTTGGCTTTCTGTGACTGATGGTTGAACCTTTCCACGTGCCTTTTACACGACTGCCCGTGAATTTGGCAAAGTGCTGCTTGGGGCTGCCTGTGTCCTCCCCATGCAGCCTCCCGCAGCAAGCCAGGAGCATTGGAAGAAGTTTAGGGTGTTTCAGGAACAACAGTTGTACCTGGAATGTGGTGAGGCCCCTTGAGAATAGGAATACTTTCACTGCATTTTCATGAGGACTATTTATTTGTTTCCAGTCAAGGACTTTGCTGGACAGGTCCCCGTGGCTCCTGCTTGCCTCATGGCTCAGCATCTGAGCTGACGTGGCAACAGCTCTGCTGCCATGTCAGTGGATGCCTATTACAGGCTTGTTTCTAGATCATCTCAGTCATTCCCTCCATCTCTTAAATGGGAAACCATGGTAATTTCCCTGTCACAGAATACTTAAGGAAGAGAGAAAAGCTGTGAAGGAGGTGAAATGGAAAATGCAATCAACTTTGTTAGAGGTGAAGCAGAAAAACATTTTTCAAATAGTATAAACAGCAGCTTACTTCATGTGCTGTTGTACCACACCTCCCAGAGGTATTCCTTGGGAGCCAGCTGGTGCTGTTCTGAAAGGAAGCATTTAAACCACAGCTTGCTGCAGCACTCTGGGAGACACTAGGGGGTCACCCAGTAGTGGGAGGCAAAATCCTAAAACTCAGCTTTCTAAACGGATGGAAGCTTCTTTTGGGGGACTGATTGAGAGCACAGCTCTGTGTTGTGAGAGATTTTCAATCCCACAACAAGGATCCTCTGTGGAGCACAAGCCAGCCCATTTGGAAGCAGCCATCTCCTGATGCTCATACCCACACAGAAATGTGTGCAGGCATGCAGTGCTGGGCTTCCTTCCAAATCAATTTAATGATGCATAAGGTCAGATTTCAGCAATATACTGGGATTTGCACTACTTATTGGATCGGGCAAAGCATAATGATATTAAACCAGGTGCCTTAAGACAACATTAAACCAATTTTCAGCCTTCTTTAAGTCCATTAGACATATAGTAAATGGGCAGTGTTGGTTGTGCAGCTTACCAACAGGTAGGGAAAGGGGCTGTTTGTTGCTTTGTCTTTCCGCATTGATCGTTCGAGGTTTTGCCTCTCTGTTACAGCCCTTTAGCCTCTCTCAATGTCAGCCTTGTAACTGGGAATAGAATTCCGTGTAGTGTTTCCTAGAAATAGTAAAACAACAGAGAAATTTATTTGGCTTGACTTACCAAAACAACATTTTTTTATGCTGCAGTCAAGCAAGCGTGCAGTTTCTCTGCAGATCAGTCCAGGTGCCACTAAAGACCTTTGCTACCTGCACTGGCAAGCATGACATTAAGATAGCATCGAGCTGCACTTCCAGAATTGCATTTGTGATTGACGATAGCCGTGGAAACCAGGCTAAAGCTGCAATGAAAATGGATCCCTTGTGCATCTCCAGTCCATTCTTAACGCAGACACAGGATTATCCAGCTTACTTTTTCGATTTCTGAGTGTCTGAAAACAGAAGGCTCCTTTACTGCCTCTATCCATCACGGGCTTTGTTCTGACGGCCACTTTTAATCTCCCCTCCCAACATTAGTGTTTGCAGCATTTAGAAACATTCCATTACTTATCGGATCCTCGGCTCTGTCTGCATCTGTTCCCATGCAGGACAGCACATGGGCTATCTCCTTTCCTCAGGCACATGAGGGATTTTGCCTGTGTTCCTAGAAGCTGTCAGCCAGGGCTTTCAGGGTGATTAGAGGTTCCACTGCCTAGTAAAGAGATTCTCAAAGCTCTGCTTCCCAATAATATTTCCATTTTGGAAAATGAAATGCCTGTACAAATGTAAAGAAGTGACCTTTGAGCTGGTGAGAGGGTTTCCCCGTGCCAGGAGCTCCGCAGGGCCATGCTATGGGCCAGCTCTTTCTTGTCATTCTCCCTGTCTTGTGCATTCTCCTCTGCACTGTGCAATAGCTTCACCAAAGACAAGTCTTTAGCCTGATGAGCTGGGACGTGTGGAAGGAGGAAAACATATATTCAGTCACCATTATCCCTAGCCTTGAGTGTAGAAGGATGTTGTCATTAAATCTGCCCATAAAAACTCAGCTATGCAAACTCCAGCAGGGGTTAAATCATCAGCCAGCATGAGCTGCTTTGGCCTGCAGTAAAACTCCCTCTGAGTCACCAAATTCTGCTAACTTCTTCTCTTCTGATTACTTGAGCTCACAGCTAACTGTCTCATAAAACCCTGACCCACACTCTCAACAGCTTTTCTTTGACATCTCAAGCTTCTGCACTTTAAACTCTCCCCCAGCAAGCGTGCATAGCAAAACAAGATGACTGCACATGAGCATACTTATGCTGGCTTCATCTTGCCAGCAAAGACAGGTCTTACCAGGCATCGGGGTCTGTAGGAACCTCCTGTAGTATTCCTGAGTGTCTGAACCTATTTTACTGCATCTTTGTTTCTATCTAGATTGACCCTGGTGTGTTTCCCCATCCTATTCATGCCTGGGGATTTGCAGCCTTAGGAGAAATGAAAAACACTGAGCAACACAGACTAAGCTTAGAAACAAAGAGGGGCATTGTAGATAATCAGGGTCATTTCCCTTTTTCACCGAGCTTCCCACTGCAAGGGAGAAATAATGGAGCTAAATGTGTTCTCGGTGGCATTTCCCCACAGATTCAGATAAATCACTGGGCTTATCCCATTGCCTGTAATATAGAGGCTCCACCCACGCCTCTGCAGTTTGCCCCAGCACTTTGTAGTGCTTTGGTCCACATACAGTAGTCTCTGTGATGATCACTGGCACAGGTGCCTTCTCACTCAATGTATTATGAACCCAACTGGAGTAAGGAGTTTCATCTGAGAACTGATGTGATACTGAAGAAAACCATCAATATTTTGGCTAGGAGACCTCTGATGTATGTTTTTGGTTACTCAGCAGTGGGCACATGCTTCTGAGCAAATTCCCCAGGGGGGTTTTTGGTGAGCTGTGAAACAGACCTCTTGGTTTTCCTGTAATACCAAGCCCTCATTTGAAGAGCCAACATGTGGCCA